AACACAGCATGTGTGGTACTAGTTGAAATTCAGCACCTTGCTAAAGGAGTTCGGAGTTAACACAGATGCTAAAACCTGTAAATATTCCAGGAAAATCATGTTAACGGTCGCACTGCTATTGGTTTGTACTGGTGGTGACGTTACTGATGCACTGATGTTTATTCTGGAACTAAAGCAATGCTTTACTGCTTCATATGGATAACAAGGATTACGTGTAATATACCATAAAAAACTGTCTGAATAACTGACTGTTATCAGCATTGCCCCTCTCTGACTCCGTGTCTCCCACGCTCTCTCACTCTCTTGTCTCTTCATCTGTCATCTGTTCTATATTCTCTCATGTCTTTCCCCATATCTGTCTTGTGTCTTTTCCACCCACCCAATATCGTTCCCATTCTTCTCTAACCATCTCATTATCTATTTTTCACTGGCAATCAAAAATCAAATTCACATTCAAGGAAGCTTAATTGGCATGACCTCTGCGTCTTACTCCCTTTCTCTCTGCGGGTTTATAGCTTTCAATTATTTTCTTTTTCCTCTGCTGTTTTAAGTGATGTTTCATTAAGGGACTGTCATTTCCGTTGCTAGGGCTTCCATCTCAGAGTTATTTTTTATTTGAGTCAACATGAATCGCATTACAAAAGCTGAATAATAATGGCACATTCAACAAACTTTCTGCAGTATCAGAAAAAAGTTTTTCTACTTGGAGGGAAAAGTCTTGAAGAAAGGATGCAACACACTTGTAAATATACAACACATTCCCACTCCCAACTTGTCAAATATATCTGGTTACACTTTCAAAATAAATCTTGGTGGATCGATGTTGTGAAACTGTCGCAGTTTACTTAGGTTTAGGCACAAAAACTACTTCTTTAGGTTTGGGAAAAGATTGACAGACCTTACTTCAAATAAATTGTTTGCTTTTGGTTTCACACGGAGCACAAACAGTTGTCTACTGGGTTTAGGTCCTGTGTTTTTGATAATGTTGTAAAAGATAATCTAGAGGTCTTTTGATTATTGCAATATTTGGCTTTTATGTTTTTATCTTTAAATTAATATTTGAATGAAAGCATGGGATATGTCAACATTTATCTGACACAAAGGGATAACAGCTTTCTTAATATTAACTCTTAATATGGTATTTCTTCATGAATGTGTTCTGTCTAATGCTATTTTACACACAATATTTTTCTTCTCTACTAGAACTCAGTCTTGCGCCACCCTGTATTGTTCCCTACCTGTCTGTCTTTCACTTTCCATCTCTGCCCCTTCCAGACAGCAATGACTTCTTTATATGTGGGGCTTGTATCTATTTGTTTGTCTGTGGCTGCTTTCTACCAGTGATTTTCATTGTCTTTGTGCAGCAATGCACTCCTGTCATTAATTATGGAATCTCAAATGGATTTCCCATACACTCCTTGTCGCACACATGCACAAGTGCACGCAAAGACTGTGTGTGTCCTCGTCTGTATGTGCATTTTGTTCAAATTGAGTCAATGTGGAGGGAAAGAATGGGGGGTGAACTCTTTAGTTAGGTCTCACTGTGTATGTGTGTGCACACTTGTATTGTTCTGTGCCTGTATGTGCATGCACTCTCTTCCAAGAGGTGCACACCCCAGGGAATCCTGTCAATCAAACTGGCTAGCAATTTGTCAGAGAAACAAGGCTCTTTCCAAGACAGACAGATGTATATATGAGTCTCATGCGAGTATAATCGTGCGTATACTGTATATATGGGTGTGTGTGTTTGCAAAATTTTGGCTGCAAATGTACATACTATTGCTGATATGTGGTTATGTATGTGTTTTTTCTCTCTCTCTCTCTCTCTCTCTCTCTTTCTATTATTACACTATATATATATATACACACACACACACACATAATTAAAGGTATCTGTGTGTCACAGTGTGTGTATATAGGTACTTTAATGTTGAGTGTATGTGTGCATGCACGTGGCAGTACGAAAAACAAAGGCAAGTTGTAACACAGTAACAGTTACACTACTGGTTAACATAGACACACAGACACACACACACACACCTGACAGCTCTGAAATCATATGGCTGGGGCTCTTCCACATGTGGCATGATTGCTTTGGCATCTGACACAAAAGAATTGTGCACTGGTGCGTCGGAGGGTGTGTGTGTGTGTGTGCCTGTCGACACGCTCCATCACTCGAGGCGTTCTTGACACATATTTTCTCTTTTTCACTTCATTAGAAACATACAAATATAAATAGTATTAGTGTCATTAAAGCTATAAGTTGCTACTGTCGTGCCTCGCTATCTCAGAAAGTAAAAATTAATCAGTGATTTCGAGCACATGCTGCAAAATTCCTGGCCAAAAAGCAAACATTACTGCTTTTTCTCTCTTCACTCTAGCTTCAAGTTGAATTGTAATCAGGGCCAAGTGTGTGTGTTTGGTTTTCGGAGGGGGGGGGGGGATGCTGTAGATACTCAGAGATATTGCTGAGTTCTTGCAAGAATGCATAGGCTCATTTTTGCTGTGCTTACATTTTTCAGAGAAGTCAGAGCAAACTATATGCAGAGCCCGTGGAGATC